TTTACTCTTTTTTAAAGCCCCACCTATGGGAATGGGGTGATGTCCTGGTTTCAGCTGGGATAGAGTTAACTGTCTTCCTAGTAGCTGGTACAGTGCTGTGTTTTGAGTTCAGTATGTGAAGAATGTTGATAACACTGATGTTTTCAGTTGTTGCTCAGTAGTGTTTAGACTATAGTCAAGGATTTTTCAGCTTCTCATGCCCAGCCAGGGCCCCTGACCCAAACTGGCCAACAGTGTATTCCATACCATGTGACGTCCCATCTAGTATAGGAACTGGGAAGTGGGGGCAGGGATTCGCCGCTCGGGGACTGGCTGGGTGTCGGTCGGCGGGTGGTGAGCAATTGCCCTGCGCATCATTTGTACATTCCAATCCTTTTATTACCACTGTTGCCATTTTATTAGTGTTATCATTATCATTATTAGTTTCTTCTGTTCTATTAAACCGTTCTTATCTCAACCCAGGAGTTTTACTTCTTTTCCTGATTTTCTCCCCCATCCCACTGGATGGGGGGGAGTGAGTGAGCGGCTGCGTGGTGCTTAGTTGTTGGCTGGGGTTAAACCACGACAATAGCGCAGAGGCCTTCGAGGACTTTGGGATATAAAAATTGTTCATGGGCAAAGGCTGACAACTTAGCCTGTTATCAAACAGCCTGCTGAGCCTACAGCTCTATCTTCTGCTCCATGGGGAATTTACTGGCAAATTCCTTGCTCCTCCGGCAGCGCCTAGGAAAGGAGCAAGGAGGAGGCTCAAGAGCTGCAGCTGAAGCAGTCTAGAGGTGCACTGATGCTGCAGGAATCCTCCTCTTCTGCCAGGCAGGAACCACCTGCCCCAGAGGATGGGCAAAATGGCTTTTGGTCTCTGTAGACAGAAAGATAAGGTGTAAAAAATGTTGAAGGTTACAGAGCTGACTGACGCATCCTGAGCATTTAAGCCACAAAGCAAGTGCCCAGTAGAGGGCTTAAGCAGGCCACTAAGGGAACAGGACTTCTAAAAAAACTCATAGTAGGGATATAGCAAGGAGAAAGCTGTTAACATTAAGTACGGTAGTCATTATATTCAAAAGATTTAAATAAATTCTGTAAATGAATGCACCCTCAGATAATTCAGTGGAACTGCATCACCACAAATAAAACAGATAAAGCAAATCAGTTTTTTAACTTCAGTCTTTTAAAGATTTGAACATATTGAAGGACACAGGGGTAGACAAAATGCATAAAGTCCAAAAATCCTTCCCCAAAGAAACATCTGCAGAACATACAGTTTGAAAATATAGCAAAACCAATCAATTTGAGGATCAGGCCTCCCCTGCCATCCGCCCACCCTGAGAGCATCACAGGCATGAAGAGACCTGGAAACTGCCAGTAACAAAAAGTGAAACTATAACCGTTTTCTTTTATTTTGGTAACTTTTGTGTTACTGGGAACTTCAGTATTCCATCACTGAAGTCCTTGGGAGAATAAATAAACATCAAGAAATGGTAGTGAGCAAAATAGTCCGTAGTTTGCTCTTTCCTCTGTTGCTCACATGTAATGACTTGGGCTTTTCAGGAGGCAGTACATTTTTGTTATATTTCTAAGTATCCTGGGGAAGCTTAACGCTCCCTGGGCCTATAGAAATGTTTCTTTTTTGTTTTGAAGCGTCAATGATTTGACTGGCAGGAAGGAACTTAACAGGCACCAGTGATGAGGCAGGACTTTTGCCGCTGCTGCCACCGCCTGATTTTAAGACTCTTTGCTTTTTTCAAAATATCCATGACTGTTGACATTTGAAGATTTTTCCATGTAGGTGGGTAGGATGTGATGTTAAACAGCTGAAAAACCTTTAGGGAGAGCTGGGGACTTGCAGCTGGGGCAGTAGGTGGGAGGTAACAGAAAGCGGGAGCTGGGTGGTAACAACGACGTGGTGGCACAAAGCCCCCAGCAGCCCCACGGAGGCAGTAAGATTTCTTACTATGTCTTGCGTCTCAGCCATGCTTAAAAATGCAGATAAATCAAGTTTAAGTGTATGAAGCTTGGTTTTAGTGGAGTAATTAATTCGTGCCAAATTCCACCCAGGTATAAAGTGCACAGTTTGTTCTTCTGGTGGTGAAAAGGGAGCTAAAAATTAACAGTTTTTTTTTAAATTTTCACCGTGATCCCTGCCATCCGCACGCACCTTTTTGAAACAATGCAGACTGCTTATTCATCCTCCACCTTCTTTAAAAGTAGTATTTGCAACTGAATTTCTTGGCACCATTTTAAGCACGGTGCAGACGAATTTTCCGCAGAAAGCGGTCTCCGAGTTTATTCGGCATGATTTTCTGACGTATAAAGCAGAGCTTTAGTTTCAAGACGCGCTGATACTCTGCGTGCAGTCACTGAATCAGCAACCGGCACGCTCCGCCCGCCGCCAGAAGAGCCCCGGCTCGGCCCGGCCC